CGCGATATCCTGCCAAGAGGACAACGGAATATCGATGCGATCGAATTAACCTTTCCGTCGGCGACGGTGACTGTAGTCACGCGACGTTTAACATGTCCAGTGCGGGGGGATTTTGCAATTTTAATTTCGTCGATGGAAATTCGTGCGATTTTTGGATGATTTATTGTGGTGCTCGTGATACTTGTGATATTAGCGATATCTTAAAGCTTTGAAAAGTCTGTCGATAGAAATTGCATTATGTATTGAAATTTTAAATATCAGAAAGAAACCATGTGTCCGTCTCCCATTATTTGAGTGATTGAATTATTTATTTGAAGCTTTCGATTTTAGATGTGGAAGCTCGAAGGCGTCATTGCGACAGTAGGCTGCGAAGAGTTAATTGAAGTATTAGTAGGATATGTAATATTACGAACATTGGGTTAATTAACTGTGGATTACATTGTAATTGGAATTACTCATGAAAATATTCACTTGTCTATTAATTTTACGTTCTCAATGAAGCTGCAGTTACTAAGTATATTTTGTACTGTTAGAAACCTTGATACATTTAGTCACAGATTAGAATATTTAATTAAGGAATTATATTTCTCAATTTTCTCCATTCTTAAAATAATTTCACGATATTTTTATTTCCCGTTCGTTAGATTTATTTCCTAAATTTTCTCCCTTCTAAACAACATCCATTATAAAACTTCGAACTGCATCTCCATTTGAAGGACATTATCGGTGGTGAATGTCCCACGTCGGTATATATTAAAATAAATCATACTCTTCCTCGGCTCTGTACTTACAGTAATTCCTCGAATTTTATTACCATAAAACCTGTTCCGCCTCAGCTCCATTCGAAGATTTATTCCCATTAGCGAGATTTTTCGTATAAAATGGTACCGACGTAGCAAGGTTAGGGTGGAAGGGCTTTTAGATAAGCAGAAGCAACGTCACCGGGCGTCCCCGGTTCCTTTTCTCCGCTTTCTCGGCCGATGGATGCGTCTTCCAAAAGGATATGTGGTCCATTGAGCAATGCGGTACAATGGCTCCGTGGAGAGCCGTAAATACAAATTACATCGGCATTACCTTCCTATTCTGAAGAGGCAGGGACCGCGGAAATCTCGAATTACACTGAATCCGCATTGAAACTCAGTGACGTTGGACGTTCTCTGGCTACGTTACCAGCTGCTCGCAATTTGTTCCTCGAGACACTGACCGTTTACTGCTTTGATCTTATAAATAATTATTAGGATTTTCAGAGTCACACATTGCTGACCGGTCACGAGTTAACTCGTGTTTTCATGTCGAAACGTTGTTCGGTCATAAGTTAATTCGTATTTTCATCTGCATTAGCTATTTCAATTTTTAAAACGCAATGTAGGGTATTACAAAAGCAAAATATTCAGTTACATGGAAGATATTAACCGTTTTTTTTAAAGTGAGTTAAGTCCACTTAAAGAAGATTAAAAGACAATTAAAGGTTAGAAAGATTATGTGGGATCATAACTATTATAATGATTAACTTGATTGTTTTCGGAAAATGGACTTAAGCCACTTTGAAAATAAACAGCTTAATTATGTCCAAAGTTTCATTCCAATTCATTATGTGTAAATAAAGTAATTTTTGAAATGCAGGCAATATAGAATAATACAAAAGGTTATTTTTTATTCAAAGTTATATAGAAGATATGTCAAAAGTTTCATATTGAGATTTTTTCACTTTTATAATTAATTGTGGAATAACAACTAGCGACGTTGGACGTTTTGTGGCTACGTTACCGGCTGCTTACAATTTGTTCAAGACACCGGTAATCCGTTGTTTTTATTTCACAAACAATAGTTGAGTTTTTTAAGGTGAAAGATAGACGATTTCTTCTTAGAAATTAGAAAAGGTTTAATGAACATTTTGGTTTGAAATCATGTCGGTTATTAAATATCTTGTTTCGAAATTTTAAAAGTCCAATGAAAGTAAAAATACATTGATAACATTTCCTGCGTTAATAATTTCTAGATTATGGATTTTTATGTATTTATAGGCTACACATATCTTCAGAAGATTTCATTCCTTTTTTATATTACCTTTGACACTTCGAAGCTTCGATACAGAAAATAAAATTTCCACCCTGATTTTACAACTATTGGCCACGAAAATTTAATAAAACTTACTAAAATCATTAATAAAGAATTTAATCTCCCGTTAAACTGTAACCTTTGCAAATTGTACCAAAACATTTTTATTTTATATAAAAATCCGCAGCCTACTATTCATTCTAATGAATTTCTACTTGGACCATTCTTAATAATTACCTAAATAATTATTTAAATAATCCCCAAAGAGATATCTAACATAAAAACAGTAGTGAAAACTGTACCACAAATGGAAAAAAAACATATTCAAGCAATTGTTCAAATAATCTTCAAACAAGTGTCTAAAATACAGACAATGGTAAAACGTTGTGCCATAAGTGGAATATGAACTGGAGTTAGAAGAAATCGAAGGACTTAAGCAGTCGTTCACACAAGTTCTTCCCTGTACAAAGAAATCGTTGCTCTGCATGGGTCTCTGTGGCGATTCTGCAGATGAAACTGTCATTCGCTGAACTCTCCCGCCGGTTGACAAAAGGGATCGACGAACTGGTATATGTCCATTTCGGAATTGAACTCTGGGGGGTCGTGCGCGTTCGTAACTCGCCGGTCTGGAATAAACGTGACAACAACACTCGGGCCCTCCGTTACCACCGAAATTACTGGCTCATTTTGAAACGCGTCCGCGTTGTTGCTCAAAGTGTCTGTCCGTGAAACCTGGAACGAGGTTTCTCCCGGTTTCCCGTGCCGGAATTGTTATATCTTTGTCCTTTGTAGATCCCCATTAAACCCCCGGCCCCTTTGTTCGCTTGCGGGGATATCATATCGAAACTTCGCAGCAGCTGTAATTAATTCGTTTTACTCGAGCTAATTCGCCGAAAGAAACGCGCCGGACCGAAACGCTTTATCGGAAATATTGAACCGAAACTTACAATTAACGTAATTTGTTCGCCAGCAGCGTTAGATGTTTGTGACAATCGCAATTCAATGTTTTACACGAAGAAAATGAAAATAATCTATAGATATTGTTATTTGAAGTTATAAGACGTGGCATTATATTTAGGAACTTAATGACTCGTTTTGGTTTCAATTTTTCAATATTTTGTTTAGGTTTGTTGGATTGAATAAATATTATCATTCACAAGATCGTTACCTATATGATCGACAGTAGCAAATGTGTTAATTCTGCTGACAATCTTGTTTCGTTGAGATTAATAAAATTCTTCTTCGGAATTAACGATTAATAATTCATATCTTAATCTGAAGAGTTTCTTTCACCTCGGTTCTTACTGAATAATATCTTCTGAAAGGTGCTTCATCCCTTTCTTGTAAAACTAACAATTACTAAACTTATCAATAAACTTCTCCATTAAAAGATTGTAATAATACTCATTTCCCACGATAAACCACAATCAACCCCCTAATTTTTCACAATCAAGTTCCCCTCCCCTACCTTATCCAGTTACCTTATCAACAAACATCCACACTAAAAAATTAACGAAAAAGCTTGCTAACATCCAGAACCATTAAAACCAATAACCCTACCCATTTCCACAATAAATCACGATCAACCCCTTCATTCGCAGGAGCAAAGAATCCCAAGTTAAAAATCGCCAAACCGAACATCCCCTTGATAAATCCAGTATCTACATTTCAAACACTATTCTCCATTAGAATCCCACCATAATTTACAGGCTAAAGCCTTAAAAATCCCATCCCTCGCACTGGAATTCTATTATTCAGCGCAAAGCAGCGCGGATTCGGCGAACTCCGGCTAATCCTCGCGTTGATACTTTTAATATCCTCGAAGCCAGTTAATGTTTACAGGCATCTGGTGCCGGGGGTGAGCTCGATAACCCTTGTTTACCGGCTGTCGGTAAGTTAATGTCATTACGCCTGATCCTCGGCGTCTAGCGTGCACGTAGTACATCCCCTAAAAACTCCACGAGGCTTACGCGATCCCTCTTATTACCTTAGCGCAAAGGGAGGAGCCGGGGGATGATGTGTGCACGCGTGTCTCGTCCCCTCGCCGACGCTCGATATTCGATCGTCATAATTTATCATTACACACAGGGAAAGGACGCGCGCGATAAATTCCGCTGTGAAGTTTTCGACGAAGTTAGGCGTTGATTTATGCGCCCCGGCGATTCGAGCAATGCGCTCGGGGATCGATGCCGGTGTCCTACCGGTGGCCGATGTTTTGCATTCGATACGCGCGAGAGTGGAGCCGAAAAAACGTGATTGCGCGGATAGAATGGGAAACAGAGGTTTTGCCGCAGTAAAATGTTTGGGATAAAAGTGGAGATACTGTAAGGTTCTTTTCGACTGTTTACTTGATTACGGGACGGAATTGATTAGGTTGCTTCAATAATTGTTGAGGTGTAGGTATATAGGGGGAGGATGAAGAATGGAGATTTTTATGTGGATGATGAAAATGTTTGTTTCTTATTCATATGTGTAAAATAGGTTTTTAGAGGATAACCTGTGATATTATGGTTAATCTATTTTCTATTTCCCTACATTCTAAATATTATTATTTAATAAAATCTATTTGCTATCCAATCTTTCAACATGGCTATATTTGATAATATTATGGTCATTGCATTATAATCTCGATGTGACTTGGAAAATATAAATAAATCTCTACAAAAACATTGTCATAAGAAGGAAAATCTCTTAATTCTACTTTATTTTACAAATAACACGGAATACTTCAAATTACACGATAATTCCTTTTACAAAGATATTTCAGTGTTCCAGAACACTGTAATATACGTGTAAAAAGATTAGCTTATTTATAATCATTGAAACGAACGGTTCCTCAAGGCGAGAAACGCGAAACTTACGCGAGGACGACTTGTCGCGGAAACCGAATGCCGGAAGACGGCGAGTTTAAACAAAGATCTAGCGTGTGGCGTGAATTTCAGATGGTCCCTTTATCCGTCGTGGCAATAGAAGCACCGTGAAGGACCACTCAGAAAAATGAGCGCAGCCGTAGAAAACGGCGGCGTGGAGGCGTCGAAGCCGCGTGGCGTTTTCTCGAAGGCATTCGCTAAACGGGCGCAGCCCTTCGAGGAAGGTGAGTCTGCCGAGACGCAAAGAAAGAAACGAATTCTGGGATTAACCACGGTGCGCACTGGGCTTTTTTTCTGGTGATTGGGTTGTCGCGTAATCAGCTACCGTTGAAGCACAGCGTAACGTCACTGGTGATTGGGCATTGGAATGGTGGAGGTTTATTGTAATATATTACAACTATATTTAATTACAATTTATAATAATATATATATATATACTAGTTATAACTAATGGAAAAGTTCATTGCAAATATTTAAAATGATATTTACTTACAAAGTATTCTATTCGCTTGGTGTTTATGGAAAAATGTTTGCGGTTGTTTCAATATGTTTGTTAAATTTTTATACTCTTCATTCCAGTATTTTCAGGTTTATAAATAGGTAGGTTCAATTAGTACGTGACCACAATGTTTGCGAACTAGACAATTGAAAGAAACAATGTGAGTAATTATAATGTTTACGTGTATGAGGTAATTGGATGTATAAAACGGTTAATAATTGAAATCTTCCGTGCGCCAGGGTATATGGTTACATTTGCAGCGAGAGTGCAATTGTACACTGCAGATGCGTCATAACATCTTGAGAACGCGAAATGAAAAGGAGAAAGAATTGTGGCATTCGTTGTTCTTGCGAACGTATTATTTCCCTGGTAATATATACGTTCTTTTAAAATCACTGCACACCGGGTGAACCAAAAGTTCATAGTCACTTTTCAAAATTCTATTTTCAGAATTTAATTTTAATAACGTATATACATTTTGTCGCGTATTATCGTACAGAATTCTATTCGAAATACTTAATCAGCGAAAACATGAAGAACAATATTGAAACATAGAAAATGAAATGAAAGCGAAATTGCATATTAAAGATACATTATAAACCACCGAGATACATAAAATCAGAAAACGTTCAACCAGTACCGTACTCCTTTCTGCCTACACAACCGAACGAACCGCTCGCTGGATACACACACCGTGTATAACTAACGCTAATTCAATAATACGACAATTTATACCGACATTTAAGTCCAACATTCACCGGTCAATTATCCATTAATCATCCCCCCATCGTCTTTAGAAAATCATACATCCGCGCCCACTTTTCCACGTGCGCCTATGGGGATGTACAGTCGGCGACAAAAGTACCCAAGCATTGTGCATACTCGAACAGAATAAACGTTCCATAATTTATTTGCATGTTGCCAAATATTTTTTTAAATTTTACGTACTCTTACTGTCCACGTATTCCATAGACGTAACTTGTTCCAATAAATAGTACTATAAAGTAAATCAAGGAGAGATGGTCTTTTTTAAAAGAAGCATTGTATCATAAATATCGCTAATACTTGACAAAAAGAAATGTATATCTATTTATGAAAGTAAATACGTATGAAAAGAAAAATTAAATGCCGCCATAATGGAGACTTCGAGCTTTAATATCTAAATTCCAAAGCTGCAAATGAATAATTTAATGATTCTAATAACAAAAGATTGACATATAGCTTTTTTCTAGTCTTCAAGGCTCCGATGGATAATTCAATTTTTATGAAAATGGTTTTCAAAAGTTTCAAAAATTCTTCGCAAAATCTACTACGACTGAAAATATAGATACTTGACAATTCAAATGACATCAGGCTGTCTTTGGAATACCTGGTGTACCAAGTTTTTCAATAATAATTCATTTCTGAAAATATAGATACTTGACAATTCAAATGACATCAGGCTGTCTCTGGAATACCTGGTGTACCGAGTTTTTCAATAATAATTCATTTCTCGTCACGCTGTTCCAATACTTTTGTCGGTGACTGTATATTGAATAGGCTTTCAGTTTCCGCGAACGCTCGTAAAGAATACCTATATTCCGCGGCGCGTACGCGCATAATATCGGGCCCATCCCATATATCAGACTAACCCCTTCGCGGTTCCCTGCCGGTATCGTAGCGACCTGGCGCTGGAAGCGCACTTAACGTGCTCGCGTGTTTGCACGTAGACCTATATACCACCTGGAAGGGTCGGGCCACGGGCTACGGCCAGGCCTCTGTGTGCCTTAATGCACATACCTGACCGTAACCCGATGCTTGTACCGCTAGCGATGGCACTGCGAAGTCGCGCGACTAGAGGACGCCTGTTTTCCGAGTCGCCTTCGATGAATACCGGGTTAGAGGCTGTTATATTTCGTTTTTAACCCCTTGTCCTACAACGAGTTAGACTCGTGGTGAAGATTTTCAAGTTGATTCAACAAAATTAAAAATTATAGCAGTAGATTTTATTTGAAACGTATCGATAGATTTTGGAACCTTGAAATCATTTGAATCGTTAGAGAAGTTGGAATGCTGAAGAGATTTCGAAGGATTCAACTTGCCCTGGGAATTCTTAGTGTCTTGGGAAACAGGGAAGTTTTAATAGTCTTGAAAGAATTGGGAATCGTGAAAATCTTGGAACTCTTAAATATTCCAAAAGCCTTAAGAGTCTTGAATGGTTCGAAGAACTCGAATGTCTTGAAAATTTTAAGTGTTCCGCAAGAGTTTGTGAAAGTCTTTAAAGTGTTGAGGTATTGGAAATATTGAACACCTTCACGTTCTTCGTGTATCTTTTATTTCGATAATCCGTCCAGACATGCAAGACGTCGAGAAATTTATAAGATGCATATTTTAAAATTATGAAAAGCCAAATCTCTAAAGACATCTCGAGATCACATTGGTTTTATACGTCTAATCTAAGATTCTTCCTTTTAACCGAAGTTTCTTGTATTTCAAGACAACAATCCCGAGTCACCCTAAGATCTCCAGTTTAACTTTTAATATTCTCGTAAGCTCCGAAATTTTTCAATCATTGATTCGATTATATCGGGTATTCAAAGCACATGCGCGAGTTACCAGTTTCCATCCGAATCCTCTATTCGAATCACAAACATGATCGCTGTAGCCATACCTGCACATTAATTGTATTATTAGGTCCGATTGCCTATGGCGATATACCTAACCGGGGACGTGGATAATATCGAGGAACTTCTAACACCGTTATCTATTCCCAGGCGAACTTTCCTTAATTCCATTACTGATCCGCTATTGCATCGTGTGGGAATTACTTATAACAAGGAAAAGTGAATTCTAATTAAGAAGGATGAGAACGGGCTCAGTGCATCGGGTGCACCTTAAACAAACAGTTAATTCCAGCCCAGTAATGTAATATTTTTAGTTGCTAATAAGATTCTCCTAATTTATTATAAATCTTAACAAAGTATCCTACAAATATTTTTAAAAAGTTTAACATATAATAAACATTGAAAATCGAAGTTCCTTTATTAACAAAATTTCACAAAAATCGTGACTGATATGTAAATAAAAACCTTTAAATTATCTCTTAAATAATGATCCCAAAAGAAACGATTAAACTATGTGTTTCAAGATGATTCAATTCACGGTTTTAATTTTCATAGCAGCTGAAGATTTAATTAAGAAGTCTATTCATTTCTGATTTTCAAGGTACCATTAAGCAATCTCCAGTAAATAAAGTATTAAAAACGGAAGAAGGCTTCTAAAAAGGTACTTAAGGAATTTCATGCTGGTTTTTATACGATCTAGTAAATTTCTCATAAATTTGCAGTTCTCCCGAACAAAAAGTTGCATCGCTTTGCTGTATTGTTTCGAGTTTACGTCGCGTTTGATAAGTGTTTTAATACTTAAGTGAGCGGAGCTCGGCGATGCAGTAAATTTTTTAGGGACAATTTACCGTGCCCGAGAGTTACTGTCTCGCTTCACATTTCCCCGGTTAAATTCATTTCGTTTCTACCCGGCCCGAGAAACAAATAATTCACAACGTAATTGCGTTAAGCTTATCCGAGTTCGCACTTGAAGCAAGCACGCTGCATCCTTTCATCAGGAAGTTCGCTGCTCCAGTAATGAACCAACGAGATAAGAAATTCGTCACGAACCGCGAAACGAGCTTTTAAGATTCTAAGTTAATTAGCCATCGTATCGGCACAATTATAGCGCAGTTGGAAATGAATACTAATAGCTGCGTGAATAAATTACTTCTGGAACCGGATCATTTATTCATAGTACGATGCAGCGTGTTATTAATCAATTTTCAACTGCATGCACAACAAAACACTAAGAAGTATAAGAACATACGAAATTAAAGATCATATACATCGTCAAGAAAAGAAACGAGAACAGTTATATTATTTATATGTATAATTCAGAATTTAATATAGAAATCTTCCAGAAAATACAATAAATTTAAAAATAGAAACATGGAAAAAGTTGCTGATGCGTTAATAGTAAATTGATGCAATTTATTGCTCTATTTTCTCTTTCGTGAATGAAAAGATTAAAAATTCTGAATTATACATATATATATAATATAATTGTTCTATTTTATTCTCTTGAAGTTCAAGAAGTTCTCTCAGGTAAAGTGATTGTCGAACGAAGTTGAATGGAAATTGAATTGAAAGTCGTCGGAGAATAGAACATCTGGACGAAAATAGAAGTGGAGGTTCTATTTTGTTATTGTTTATGTTACGCGAAGCTATACGGAATATAAATTTCAAACAGCACGTTCAGGAATCGAAGTTCCTATTGTCCTCGTCGTCGCGAATGTATTGTGCCGTCTGTCACTTGAGCTTCCATAAATGTCGGTTCAAAGCGCACTCGAAACTCCTATCGAACGTTTCGCTTGAAACTCAATATCTGTTTCATCATATTTTCATTTATTACCGTGGCATTACCCGGACTGTGTTTATACTCCACGTATTTGGCCCGTGGAATAAGATTCACGTGCTGTCCCTCTATTGAAACCGATTCCACTGGACGAACGGTCCAACGTCAAGAAAATAAAGTTTCCAATATTCTCAGGACTCGGGAGTATAATAGAAACAGGCAGTGTGGGAATCACAGGCATACATCAGTGCGGAGATCCTGCGATCCGAAGAGTATGAAATCATGGGAATCACTAAAGCTGAATAACCGGAGAATAATAGAAACTGAAGAATATGAGAATTATGTAAATCGATTAATGTGGTAGTTACGAAATTGTAGCAGCATGAGAATCGTGAAAACGTGGAAGCATTAGAACCGAACAATGTGGGAGTTAATGAAACTAAGGGACATGGGAATCGTGGAAATCGGATAGTGCGAAAATTGCATTACTGTAATCAAAAGTATAACAGATATCAAAAATGAAGAACATGAGAATCGTGAAACCAACATGGGAATTAGTCGATCCGATAGTATAAAAACCACAAAGGAGCAATATGAGAAAAGAAATACTATTAACAAAATTATAGAAACCACTAAATATAAGGAATCGACTGATAAATATAATACTCGCTCGATTCCCCACAGGAGGATCACAAAAATATAATACAAAAAATACACAAACCAAATATCAGAAAACAGTAAGACTCAAGAATTCCAGAATCTCCACAGAAACTTCTACGTCTGTCTTGCGCCAATTCATAAAGCTAAAAAATCACAGAATCAAGGGGAAAACGTTCATTCACGATGATCGGTTGCATAGCATAGCAACGTTGACGTCTCGGCTTCAACTCATTTTTGTTATCGATTTGTTTCATAAGTCGTATTCGGTCTCGCTTCCGTCCTGTATCATTGTTGCGCAACAATGACTGTGCGTCGAAAACCAAGGCGGCCTGGAGACTTCTCAAGAGAGGTGCCCGGCAAGAGAACTTGCCTCCCTGACTTCACGCCACAAAGAATAATCGCCAACACTTCTCAGCTGGAGAGTACAAAACAAGGGGACCCTTTGGATCTCAAGAAACGTATTATTCTACTTTTTATAAAAAGCTAGAAACAAGTCACTTTCATTGCTCGGTAGTTTTAGTGTTAATTTGTCGAAAGAGCTATCGGACCGCTCGATTCGCTTCAACTTCTTCAGGACCGAATTCTTCTTGAAAACAAACAAAGACGATCTTAGTTTCCGTTTGACTGCAGTTTATTTTGCTCGAATTGACAGGAATTGAACGATGTGAAGACGGACAGTGGTTATGAGAAACACTCGAGAAAACAAGTATCCATTCGATGGACGTTAACGTTAAACTAAAATAAGATGTACAGATATGTGCCAGTATCCTCGAAGAGATCGCGAGATAGTCCGAAACAACGTCTACGTTCATTATCCATTGTTATCAATGCGGTCCCAAGTTTCAGAACCGGAGGACTAAAGGCAACACGCGTCAAGATTCAAACGCAAGCGAGCGACGATCGCGCGCAGCACTGTTCAAACTCGAATAAGCCGGTAAACCGGTATAATGTCGAATTAAAGTCGTCCCAGGCCGAAGTGAATCGAGTCTGGGAACGCGATTCCATCAGCAGAAGTTTCTCGCGCGATCTACATCAAAGAGCACTCGAAAGTCCAACGTGATATGTCATGACGCATGTGAGAGGGAAGACAGAAGGAGCGCGCGAGAGAGAGAGAGAGAGAGGGCGGTTAAGGGATATGGCGTTTCTAGCCTCAGCCCGAAACGAGCTTCTCTCACGAACTTGTCGATAACAGTTTGGCACCCCTCGGGCCTTTCCACGTTCGCGCCATGCTTGCCCGGAGAATTCAATTATCCCCATCGCTGAAACGACTCGGCGAAGGTAACGCGAGATGAACGAGTCGGCGACGGCCATCTTGTCGGTTGAAACCGAGCCCGGAGTCCCATGGTTCCTCCAAGTTCCCCTACTCTAGCGCGCTCGCTCTCTGTTTAACCGCGTCGCGCGTTCGGTATGCTGTTAGCGGCACGCATCCCTTGATATTTCCTGGATCCCTGATTCCGGCCAGATGCACCGGGTTAATGAGAGAACACGGGCTATGCAGGTCCGCGCGGAATTATGTATTAGTCTCGCGCGACGCCGACTCCGGCGAGATTAGCGGGATTAATAGGCCACCGCGTATCGAAACGTTGTTTATGTATACGAATTTGTTACGCGGGTATATTAACCAATTAACTGTGGAATTTAATTTGAAGAATCTCATTGTGCGCGCAATAGAGTTGAGCAATGAGGTATTTATTCGTCAAACGCAGTGAGAATATACCTATAATATATTTCGATGAAAAATTAAAAGAAAACGAAGAAGAATTACATGTATATCTGAAAAATAACTAACTCGCCATTGAAAAGATTCGTATCGTTTCGAGTTTTAACGTGACGTGTATATTTGTTAAACGCAGTTAATTGGTTAACCGTGTGCGACTAGGTAATTGTGATTTTAAATCTTGCTGCGGTGGGATCTGCTAATTGGTTGATCGGATTCCTAAGTTTAGGAGTTTGGGCGTTAATGGAATTGCTTTGGTTTCGTGATTTCGGGACGTGTTTGTTTAAGTTGATGATTGTTTGTGGTGTTGCTTATGTTAAATGATGCATGGTAATGTTGGGACTCCCTTATTTCATTTTAAGCGTCTTTAACTTTTTGCACTCGAAGCAGTTTCAATAGAAACGTATAATAAAAAAGATTCACGTATAAATAAATGATACACGCATAAAGAGAAAAGTCAGATGTATTTTATTGTCTTTTTAATAAAAACCGTTAAATAAACCTAAACAATAGGTTACAGATGTAGATGTTGTAACATATTTAGTGACAAAACTTTACAGTTTATAATGACAAATATTAAATGCCTCCGCTCGGGAGCCGTCGAGTGCAAAGGATTAAGGTTCCTGTTGCGAAGCAACTCTGTCTTCTGAATTCCCTTTTGTATATTCCTGTGCTTTGCTCTTCCTCGAGAAGATTGTGCATTAGACATTAATAATTGGGAAAATGTGAGGACGTCGTAAGTTACAATGTAGTGTCTATCTATAGACATACTAACTGGAAATGATTATACTGCTTCACAAGGTTCTAAGGTTATAAATTCTTCTCTTTGTGAAATATGGAATAATGTTGAAATGTAACTCATTGGATAGCCTCGTTAGTTGTTCTTTCAGTGACCGTTTTCCGTTAATCTGTTTCAGCTCTCAACACACTAAACCGCTTAAATAAAGAAGGCGAAGCACTTGCGCTTCAGGATGATCTTACAACGCACCCCACCTTGGCCTTGATGCGACGCATCCTTGCAGATGCACAGGTGAGTCCCTCCTAGACATGTCTCATTACTTATGAACGTATTACCATATTCTTGTGATTGAATTTCTTTAAAAAATCATACATCTGAAATAACCACCCAAATTCCATCAGTTACGAAAAATGGTAAACATTCCCTTCAACCAAACGAAACTTCCTTAATAAATTCTAATTTATCACAAATGACAAATAAATCAAACACAAAACAACGAAACTATATTTTTTTCACAATTTACTTTCCTAACTTCCTAACTTTTTATCTTTCTACCAAAATCACGCTTTCATCACTTTAATATTCAGTGCTTTTAAGGTATCAATCATTGCGAAACACGAAATCATCTACTGTTAATATTAAATGGTTAAAGTAGATACAGATCTATTATGAATATAGAAATTCTTTTCTTTCAAGTAACTTGTAACGAATGAAATCATAAGACAAAGGGTTAAATAGAGTTTTTAAAGTATCAATATTTGCGAAACGAAACAAACGAAGCCAGTCATTTTGACTGTTTCAGTAGTTCTAGTCCCAGTAACGAACAGACACAAAACCATAGCCACGTTTTAAAGGTCTTTATCCGAATTTTCGTTGGTCCCTCGCTCGTAGAATCGCCTCTTCCCCAGTCACGCCATAAACGAACGCGTCACCAGGTATATCGAACAATTTTCCACGGGAAATGAAATGAAGCGCCGTCTCGTTGACTCTTGTTGTTCCCTTTTCCACGGCGGCCGGTCCCTTTCCCTCCTCCCCGACCCTCTGACGCTCCGGCGAGCCGGCTGTTGTTGCTCACGGGCATCCAACGGGAACCCGACCCCCGGCCGCGCTGGAAAAATGATAAAAATTGAAGGTGGAGCAGAGGAACCGGGGGATGGCCGCGTAATTAACGAATCGCGTCCCGTATAAACACATTATCCGGTGAATCGGGGGGCCCCGCCGCGGTCGTTGCGGTGATTCCGAAATTAACGCGATTAAATAGGCGGCTCGCAATTAGTTCCGAGCGATGACGGTCACGGATCGCCGTTGTTCGAGCTCGATGAGAAGGAATAATGCGACGTTCTCTCCATTATTTATGAGTAGTTTGTTCGTGACTGCGCGATGAGGCTCGCGGAAACGATCCGCGCGACGCGACGTCCGCCTGGGGACCCGTATTTTATAAATGACAGTTTCTCGACGGATATTCTAGGAGGACTGCGCTGCTCACGGGAAAATGATCCGAATTATTTTCCGTTGTCGACTGGAAATAGATTTGATTATTCCGGCGAAGAACACGGGTCTTTGCGATATTGATTTTGTTTCTTGATTTCCGACTTCTGTTATGCTTAACACTTTGAATATCATTCTTCATTTTAAATGCAATTGTATATCTTTTTATTATTCCCGTGGAAGAGAAAAGGGATATTCTGATAAACCGTTATAGAGTACCATTATAATCTTTTAATCTCACTTCAATTTTAGAAATAATATAAAACTTGCAAAAAGAATACAGCAAATTGTCACTGTTCTTATCATTGTTTCAACAAACCAAATGATCAGCCCCATTAGTATCTAACAGACACTTGATTTCATACCATACTATCAATTCCAAAATTCTCTAAATCCCAACAAATTCATTTTTCCTGATGATTCTGCTTTCTTTATAAATTACAAATAATAATCTTTATAAATATTACACATATAAGTATATAAAAGAATCGCAGACGTTTTTAAAAAGCAGCGCAACCCAAAAAACACGTAGCTTCGCCACCATCGTGCAGCCAGCGGGAACCGAGAAATAAGTAGCGCGAGTCGGTGACTGGTCAGACACGGCGGACAGTTCGCCGACGCTGCATTTCCCGGGTCCCGGGATCGCTCCGTGGATCCGTTCTCGTTACAAAGGGTGGGACCGATTCGGATTCCGGTCACGGATGCCGGTGAAATCGCGCGGCCGTCGAAAATTAACAAAAAGATATGTGCTCGCCGGGAACGAGGACGCGGCGGAAATTGGCCGGCAGCGCGGGCCGGGGACACGTTTTCAATCTTACACCGTGTCGGCGGGATGATCAATAGCCGGCTGAAAAATATCCAACGGAAGGAGGCGCGGCGGCACGAGCGCTGGGAATTCCATGTCCGACATCTCGATGTCGGAATCGCCGTTTTATGCGCATCGCGTTCGATTTTCCGCACGGTTCTCGCCCCACGATCCTCACGAAAGTAACGGGAAAGAGGATGCTAATTGAAATCGGCTCGAACGCGTGATCGTGATGTTCGGACACTGCCGATAATGGGAATCTTTTCTCTTGGAGACACATTTAATCCTCGATTTATTCAATTGGTTCCCCGAAAACGCCGGGTAAATTGAAATCGTGCGATCCGAATTTACAATTCATATCGATAAGGAATATTTAATAAATTTGACAAATCCATATGAAACAGTATTATTTCTTTTTTGTGAAATGAAGAATTATATGTGTATTTTTAAACAAAAATTCATTAATCCAAATGGCACATATAATTCACAAAACAAAGATTAATGTACTTTCTGTATTCGTTCTACCTGACCGTGTTAAAGTGAAATACGTGTAAATGGAAGTTCTTCCGCTCTTCTTCAACCTTGTTAAAAATTGTGTGATTTGCATGCTATGTAAATCGATGGATGTAATGGTAATTGATTTTATGAGGTTTGACAATGATGGATTTTGGAGTTAAATTTTGTTCGTAAAAGTTTCTAGAAGTTAAGGTATTTTTTGGTTTGATATGTTTGTGTGGGAAGTGTAGTTTATTTGGAAAGATTCATTAAGAATATGTTGTTGCTAGTGAATAATTGCCTTATAGTCATAGAACTTTCTTCAGAACTGTGCCTTTCACGTTTGTTCTAATGTTAATCCAGATTTACAAGAACCAGTATATACCTGAGGTTATGAATTTGCATGAGAATATGCAGCCCACTTTTTACTCACATGTTTTACGGTTCTCTACTAAAAATTCACGTGACGTAATCGCGTGATTTCATTTTATCCACGACGTTACCGCAAATATTGCACATACCGCATAAATTCCTCGACGATCCCACGAGCATTTCCAACGAAATTCGCGTGACTAATGAAACTCTGATATAACTCCGTCCATCCGAGACGCGTTTTAAGCAGTAGCAGCAACGTTTTCATAAAAATCCGATTGTGGATTGTCAGGAGAAGACTGGGATAAAATTCTACCCATCTGAGTTGCATTTTGATCAGCAACAATTTTTCTCCAAAAATCAGAAAGACAGACACAAACACGAATGATGAAAATCGCAACAAACAAAAACATCGAGAAAAACCTCACCTCAAACTCTACACATTTCAGTCGCGCCTGAAACATTTTTCACGAAGACCAAAAAGAACGATTCAAGAACGAATAGCCAAGATCGTGACAAATTAAGATCATCGACTGTTCAACATGGAGAAAAACCTCACATCAAACTCTACAGGTTTAAGTCACCTCTTCAACAACAGTTTTCACAAAAACAAAAAAGAAAGATTCAGAAACGAATGTCGAAAACCCCACAAATAAAAACCATCGATTATTCAACATCGAGAAGCAACTTACATCAAACTCTACCCACTTAACTCGTTCGCATCGGTAAGCACAATATTCCGCATATGACGATCGTCACCTATCACCAGTCGCGGATTATACCGCGAGCCGTGACTTACCTTTATCACCGGATGCAAAATATTCTGAGCTGTTTTCATTGCGTTCTTAACAAATTTTATTTTTGTTAATCGCTATGCAGATCTTTCTGACCCTCGTTGACACGTCGACCGCCACGAGAATTTAGAGCGTTTCGTATAGCATTACTTATCGTATTATAACAGTGGCAAATGGTATTAGAATTAGTTATTAATGATTTGGTATCATACTTAAGCCATACTATTATTTAGTTACTCATGTTGCTAAGAGTTTCAATTCGACATCAGTTTTCATATTGTAATTGATTCCAAGTAATTCGGACGCTTCGGTCATCGGTGACCTCCGTGACATATATACTTCTAATGTAAATTCAACTGCTCTAACTAAAATAAAAATTAAAAAAGCTATTGACGTGCGATACGGTCTGTCAGTTAAACGTCTCGGATGAGGTTAGTGTCGTGTTTCAAGTTGCGATGGAAATGGGTTAAATCGTGTATTAAGCAGCAACAACGATTCTTCAGAAAAACCCGAAAGGATAAGCCGAAAAACGAACGGCGGAGACTCGAGGAAATAAAAGGCCACCGGTTGTTCCCGTTGTTGCCTCGAATCGCCGGTCTCCACGCTAACCAACGACCCGCGGCGAGCGCATCCATGAATCACCGCGCACTTGCCGATGCGCTCGAGCGAAAGGGGGACAGGGACTAAATGAAAAATGCAAAATCAGGAGACGCGGTGCCCCCGTCCAGCCCCGTTCCACCCTCTTTTCCAGCCTTTTCTCCGCGTACCGCGTGTTTGCCGAGCTGCTAAGTGGTACCCCGCCGTGCCTCACAGTGAATCCTCCTCTTCTCCTTGGTCTTCCCCGAGTCTGCCTTTCAGCGTTCACCGCAGCCGCACGCATCCCCCGACCCCCTCGACGGAACGGTGTCTCACGGACCTGAGAATACCTCCGCGACCGGAAGACTCGGGGTAAGAACTATGAAACGGCGACGATGAAATACTCATTGTGAAAAGTCTCGCGGTCTCGCGTTGAAAGTTTCGCAGGGGTTTTATGGGACGGGTCGGCGCTGCATAACGCGGCCGTTTCGCTCATTGAAATTGTTGTTTAACTTCTTCGCGAAGTATTGAGGTGTTGGACAGAGAAAGGTGTGTAGATATGAACTGATATTTTAAGAAAGGTTGCGCTGGTTTTGTTATTGAACTGTGCAACGAAGTAGCGCTGTGGCTTACGCAAATAGTAGAGCAGTGTCCTTGGTATGTGTGTATGTGAGTGTATAAGATATTAGTCGATATAAAGGATTTAAGAAATAATTTGATTTCTTGTTAAAAGTTATTTTATTGTTAAAAGTTTCTCGGTG